CAGGAAATGAGCACGAGCACATCGTAGAGAATACAAGGCGCTGGTAGTACGTGTCCTGATCCTTGGCACAGGCCAGCACATCGTAGATGGCGAACGGTCCAGAGATGCCTGATTCGTTTTTCAGTTTAGGGTTAGGACTTTCAGCTCGTCGTTGGTGAGGCATCAAACACATCCGTGGACAGGCACGCAATCGAAGCAAACACGAACATAAGCTTACAGAAGCCCAAAACCCTGAACCCTAAACCCTAAACCTAAACTCTGAACCCTAAACCCTAAACCCTAAACCTAAACCCTAAACCTCAACCCTAAACCTAAACTCTAAACCCGAAGTACTGGTTTCGTGTTCATGGCACGGGGCCACGGATAAAAACCTCGTGGTAGTCATGGGATCGGGAAGCGCAAATTCCGGTAGCACCACTTCGGATGTTCGTGCAGGTCTTGAAGGTACGGCATGCGCACTAGCCATAAACTGTATGTATGCATGCATACATCCATGCATACATATTTACATGCATGGTTTGTACATACATATATGAAATGAAATGCGCACCTATCTACTTACGTGGATGTCTGTGTACCTCCGTGTACCCATGCATATGTATGTGTGTATATATATATATATATGTGTGTGTGTGGTGCATCTGTCTGTGTGTACACACACGTGCATGTGTGTATGCTTGCCTGTATGCCTGTCTGTCTGTATGCCCGTGTTGCTGTACGCTTGTATGCCGTATGTCGGTACCAAAACAGTGAACCCCCAAAGCAATATGTGTAAATATATATATATATATATACACATGCTACTATATAATTCTAATTAATAAGAAACCCCAAAATAATATACATATACTATCACTAAAAAAAAGGAACCCCAAAGATAGTATTGGTAATTATCTAGGCCCCTGCATTGGTGTCAGGGACGCCGATCATTCATGAATAGGCAGCTCAGGTTTAGGGGTTTAGGGTTTGGGGTTCAGGTTCAGGGATGTGGGTTTAGGAGGGTTTAGGCTTTACTAAGACCATAGTGGAAACATGGGGGATCCCAACTACAGACCCACAGAAAGGGTCCACCGCCTCCAGCCCTAAAGACTAGGAAGCCCCAAAACTGCGAAAGCGCCCTTAGATCCCTAAACTAAACCCTAAACCCTTAACCCTAAACTCCTAGAGTACTGAGGAAAACGCATAGGGGCTTGGGAAGCCTTGGATGAGCCGTGCCGGGTTTAGGGGCTTAGGGTTTATGGTTTATCGGCTTAGGGGCTTAGGGTGGAGGGTCTAGGGAGGCCCGTGGCATCTACGCCTTTTCCAATGCCCTGAGACGAGCCATGGGCGATGTCGTCCGTGGGGTTGACCGCCTGAAAGACGGTTAGCGCTTGGGATTTGGGGTTAGAGCTCAGGGACGGGGGCCGGCAATGAAAAGAATGAAATAGCCTCCAAAGCCTACACCCTGAAGCACCGAAACCGTACCGCGAGGATTGCTCTAGCTCTCTGTCCCTTCAAGACTATAGACTCTTGGCGGAAAATTGGCTGTCGAATACCTACGAACGATGGGTTCCACTTCGGAATAGCCAAACCTCTGAGGCCATTCAAAATGTCCTCTAAAGCCCTCCGAAACTCGGAAAATGT